ATGCCATCGCGAACACCTTCGGGCCTAAGCCAACAGATCAGGTCCTCCCCGCAGCCGCCCCAGACGCTCCAACAGCGTGTGCCGTCCCCGGGATACGCCCACATCGCGAACGGCGCAAGAGGAGTACACAGCGCAATGGGAACGCCACAACAAATAGCATCGCCACATGACGCGCGCATGGCGACCCCAAACCCCATGTACCGCCAAACATCCACACCGGGCATGGACACACTTGCAGGTACGTGCCCGCTTTCTTTGGGTAGTGGCACAGTGCTGTAGACGGCCCCAATGTGAGGGAGCCGCAGCTTAGATGCAGGGAGGAAAGAGCTACAGCAAACGACGATGGGTCGCTAGCTAGCAGGGGATCTGCTAACATCTCTCAGACCTTGCCAGCATGCAGCAACAACAAGCTGCGCGCCAGAACTCTGTAGTTCACCAACGGCCTGTCACGTAAGTTCTTCATCTTTGCTGAATTTCCTCGTCTGCCCTATTGCTGAGACCACGACTGCACCTGCATTTCCACGTGTAGCGCGCTTTGTGTTTTGTGGGGCAGGCAGTGACGTCCGGGTGTCGCGCTTGCCCGTGATCACGGGTTGCTGTTGCCCGTTCCGGCAGCCTAATTTTGTCGCGCAAACTCCACCACCAAACACTGACCACTTGCCAGACTGCAACACCTCGGACAAAACCTCTCCGGTGAGTCTGTAGCTAGCATCATGTCCGAGGCCTCACCGCGACCGCGCAATTTCATTACTCGCTCTCTCGACCAACAGCACATCGACTGGCTCAACCAACTCGACAAGACGCTGCTGGAAAACCCATTCGACTACTACAGCCATGTTTCGCTCGTCACCACTCTACACCAAGGGCTCCAAAATCACCTCGCATCGTTCGATTCCGACCCAAACGCGTACGAGTTGGTCCAGACTCTGCGCGATGCATACAAAACCATGTCAGACAAGTACCCGCTTGGCGAGCTCTTGTGGCATTACCGGCTGAACGACGAGAAGACTCTGGCCAAGGATGTGGAACAGCGCATGGGTGTGCTCGAACTGCACAAGCAGGCAACACAAGAGGAACCTTACAGCGCAAAGCTTTGGGCTGCATACGGCGAGTATGTGAGCTACCTGGTCGCGTGCTCTTGGGAGCAAGTACCCCCAGAGGAGTGGTCTGAAGAGGAGAGGCTTATTGGTCGAGAGCTCTTCCAACCCCAACTGCTACTGGACGCGCTGCAAGAAGGTGCTGAGAGAGTCAAGTACAACCTCCAAGAGAGCAATCTCGTCTGGGACCGCTACCTGCAGGTTTTGGAAGAAGACCTCGAGCGAGGAGGCTTCAGCCAAGAGAAGGCGAAGAGGGTAGCCGCCATCTACAACGACCGCCTCGGCCAACCACATGCAACATGGGCGAACACCCTTAGCAGATACTCGTCTTTCAATTCTCGCTACAATCAAAGCCACTACGAGCAGGTTATGGATGAAGTGGTGCAAAAGAATACACACATCAAGCAGCAATACGCCAACCGCGAAGAGTACGAGTTCAAACTCCTGCAGGCTATCCAAGCAGGCGACCAAGCTGCAGAGTACACCGCCATGACACGCTACTTGAAATGGGAGAAGAGGACTATGGGTGTCTACAGCTTCCATCTCGTCAATGCACTTTATGAGCGAGCCACGCTCCGATTTCCCGTCGATCCTTCCATATGGGAAGACCACGTTGAGTTTCTCGTTTGGCAGGATAACCGGTCGGTAGATTTACTCAACGTTCTCGAGCGCGCGACACGCCATTGCCCATGGTCCGGGTCACTCTGGTCCCACCGGTTATTGACACTCGAAGCGGAAAACAAGCCATTCGAGGACCTTGAACTTGTCAAGCACACAGCCACTGGATCTGGACTTCTGGAGCACACTGATTTGGATGAACTCATCAAGGTCCAGCTCGCCTGGTGTGGATATCTTCGGCGAAGGGCTTTCGATGACCCCAGAGCAACGGAGGATGATGTTGATGTTGCCGAGGTCGGAATTCGATCGGCTTTGGAGTTCGTCCGAGAGGTCGGCATGAAGAAGCATGGCAGAGAATGGACGGACCGAAAGTACCGTCTTGAGCGCGCCCACATCAAGTTCTGGCTCCAACGCGGTGACATTGATCAAGCCCGGCAGATTCAGGACTCTATCACCAAGTACCAAGAGGACTCTTACGACTTCTGGTATCGCTGCTACATATTCGAGATGCTCCTGTGGGCGCCACACGCAACGAGGGGCAAGCAAAATGCAGGTCAACCGTTATTGCCGCCCACCCAGGCCACTGCCATTCTGGAACGTGGCATGAAGCGCTTACAAACGATTGATCAACCCGAGCTGCTCATCGACATGTACATTAGCCATTGCGAGCAGCACGAATCAGCGTTTAAGGTGCGTAGCGCAACGATCGAGCGACGACGAGCTGAGCGCATCGTGTCCGTCCGGAGGGAGAAAGAACGAGCACTTGCGGCCGCTGCAGCTCCGCCACAAGACACGCCAGATAGCCAAGTCGGAGACAGCTCAACGAAGCGGAAACGGGAGGACGGTGACGAGGACGCGGTATTGAAGAAGAGCAAACATGTAGAGATCTCAGAGGCTCTTGACGGGGTCAATGGTCAAGCCAGAGTCGCGAGCGAAGCACCCTCGGAAGCTCGCTCTACAGGACCGAAACGAGATCGCGAGCACACTACAGTCATCGTGAAGAAGCTACCACTCAACACTACACAGACTCGAATACGCCAGTTCTTTACCGACGCAGGCACAGTCCGCAATCTAGTACTGAAAGAGGAGAAGGATAGTCTCACGGCTGTGGTGGAGTTTGAGTCACCCGAAGAAGCCCAGTATGCTCTGAGCAAAGAGGCGAAAGGATTCGAAGGTCACAACATATCGATTGAGCGAGGCCAAAGCACGACACTATACGTCACAAACTACCCTGCGCATGCCGACGAAGCCTGGATCCGGAACCTCTTCAGTCCATTCGGAGAAATTATCGGCATTCGCTTCCCTTCACTCAAGTACGATGCGCATCGCCGGTTCTGCTACGTTCAATTTGCTTCAGCTGAACAGGCGGTCGCTGCGACACAGCTGGACGATACTGACGTTGAAGGGTTGAAGCTAATCTCAAAGATCTCCGACCCCAACGCCAAAAAGAAACGCGATGGCGCTACCTCCGAGGGTCGCGAAGTCTACATCTGGCATCTCAACTTCAAGGTCAAAGAACGAGAAGTTAAGGACGCCTTCTCCAAGTTCGGCAAGATTGAGAGGACCAAGTGCCCAACTATCAGGTCGACTGGCAACAATCGCGGTTTCTGTTATGTCGTTTACGATAACAAGGATAGCGCTGATGCAGCAGTGGCAGAAATGCATGAAAAGGAGTTTGCGGGCATGAAGATCCATGTCGAGATCGCAAAAGAGCGTCCTGACACGAAGCCAAAGGTGCAATCAACTCTCGAGAATACGGAAAACGCAGCCGCTCGCGAAGGTACTCCTGGACATAGCGACGTTGCTCATGAAGCCGCTATCAAGCCCGCATCCTTCATGGACCGATCCATTGCAATCCTCAACCTGCCTGACACTGTGCCTGACGTGCGCATCAAACCGCTTGTCGAACAGTACGGCTTCAAGAGGATCAAGCTCGAACCCCATCATGGTGGTGCGATCATTGAGTTCACAACCGTGGAAGGTGCTGGCAAGGCTCAGTTCGCGCTTGAGGGCAAAGACTTCGAGGGAAGGAAACTGCGCATCGGTACAGTCCAGGACCTTAACAAGCAAAAGGGAGAGTGGAAGGCGAGCAACAGCTTCATCCAGCCAAACCGTGTCAACCGACCTACTGCTGCTCGCGGTGGACGAGGACGAGGAAAGCCCGGTCTTGGTCGTCCAGCTATACCGAAAGGTGCTACAACAACAAACGGCGAGCCGAAGAGCAACGCAGACTTCCGCGCACAGTTCTTGAAAGAGCCTGCGAAAGAGGCAAACAAGGACAACGACAAAATGGAAGAGTAATGGCAGAGGATTGGAGTACGGTCGCATGTCAAGGCCCTACACGGGCCTGACTGGTGTTTATCAAGGCGTGGGTTTCAACGGCCGCTTACGGTTCAACTGCATACTTTGGCGTTTGAGGATTGGTTTCCCATGGATCGGAGCCGGTATGGTTGGCTTTCGATGTCCTCTTTCCTCTTGGTATGGTGCTGAGCACTGTGTATGTAGTATAATATAATGAGTGTAAACTATATCCCAGTCTGGTCGGTTTCACTGTGACGATGTCATTCCTACAAAATCGCTATGCCCTTAGACTGGACCTTCTAATCTTGCTAACATCTAGGCACAAAGCCTGACTGGTGGCTCATCCATAATACGACAGCTCCAATCCAGAGGGTGGGTGCCCGTCCGCCACCCAACCCAGCGTAGCCAATATACTACGGGCAAGATGTTTGACAACAATGGACAAGGTGCACGAATGCGTAGCGTAAGGATCGATACGCGCGAGACGCGGTCGCATGGGCTGTGATCACGATCACAAATTCAAAAGCATAGTAGTTAGGCATATCTGTTGCGTTCGAGAAGTCAAGTGGAGTTTCTTGGAATCAATAGCAAATCACAATGGAGAGGAAGTTGTGTCATGGTCGCGTCAAGCTGACATCAATTTGACCATATTTTCCAAAAAGCTTCATGCTGAGTCTGGTAAAGAGCTGATGATAAGTAGAAAAAGATGACACGCTTTTCCTGCCTCCCTTACTATGCAAGTTCCGCTGACGTCCTGTTGGACTCAACCTAGGTATGAATGAAAGATATTTTCTCGTCGTCAAGAGCTCGTTGGAGCCTGACGATCATCGTAGTCTGTTGGCCTCACGCGCCAGCTGAGAGTTTCTTCTTCCTCTCCTTCAACTTTGCTCACAATTCCTGGATTTGAGCGCGCACGTCGGCAGCGGGACCCATGCACCTTGGTCGGCCGCCCCTCGGATGATCAGCAGTGGGCTCTAATCTGACCTAGTTCTTGGTTGGCTTGGCCTCTTTTTCTGCTGTGCTGGGATCCCGAACAGCCGGCTCAGGGATCTTTTGGTTGTGATCAATCAGCCACATCTCCCAGAGAGGCGCAGCCCAGATGGAAAAGCCGGTGACTGCAGTCCACTCCCTCATGTCGGAGATAACACTTGGCGGAGGTATTACTGTGAACTTGAGTACCCTGGCTATCATGGCTGCGATGGCCTTCAAGTCGTCCAGGGAGGCTTCCTTCTCAACGTCGAAGAAGAGAGCCTCTGGGTCGGTGGTCTTGACCTCCGAGCCGTTGGGCTGTTCTCCCTCTGTGGTCTTATCCTCGGTGATCTTGATAGCCTTGGGCTCGACTATGTGAGACTGCTCGCCGCTGCTCGGAGAGCTGTAGAAGGAGGGCTCCAATTCGAAGTCGTCTTTGCCGGGAGTCTTGTTGATGTGTACACCCATCCAGACCTCTTTGCCTGTGACAGGGTCCTTGGCGACAAGCATGCGCTTAGAAGCATCACAAAAGGTGAAGTTCTTTGGATCCTCACCCGGCTGTTCACATCAGTGTTGATCCTAAGTGTGACGTGTTGGGTGCATCTTACGTGGTAGTCCCTCGAATCTATGTAGCAAGCGGTCATCTTCTTTTCGATGTTCGGTATCTTGTTGGCTCTTCTTGTTGGCTTTTCTTGTAGGCTCTTCTTGTTGGCTTTTCTTGCTGGCTTTTCTGGTTGGCTTCTCTGGTTGGCTGTTTCTTATTGTGTTGGAATTCTTTTGGTAAATAGTAATGATGGAGATAAGTAAGAATCGACGAAAGATATTGTTGCGATAGTGTAGGAAGGATGGAGCTGAAAATAGCACGAGGCTTTATGTATCACGATGCAAGGGTTCCAGGTGAGAGAAACGACGTATGTTGCACTGACTTTCCATGTGGACAGGTAATAGAAGCCTTCTTCCAGAGTAAAAGTCTAGATAACTAGGAAAATCCCCTGTTACCTACAGTTACTAGTAGGGTGTAGGTTGTAACAGACGCGAGCTTGTTTAAATCCGTAATAGTAGTACCTGCTTTGGCGATGCTTGCGCCTGGGAAGCTATGCAAAACACATTCGGGAATTTGGCAGCTGTGATATGTTGTGAGTGTAAAGCCACTGGGTGGCGACTGAACGTGAGACGACCTTGGAAAGCTCACCGCGCAATCGAGGAAGGCACGTGATTGTGACTGCACTCGTGGGCAACAGCGCCCTGGTCCGTTCCTGTACTGCTTCTGACAAAGATATGCCGCTTTACGCATCGCCATCCTCCTCGCACTTTTCTGCCTACTTTACACGCGACAGATGCGGATCACATGGCGTGACTGTGAAAGCCTTGAAACCGTGCATGGCCATTCACTCATGTACTTGGTGGCCGCAGATGGTCGTCTGGCTGCCGATTACGTCAGAGCTCCTCTGACTGTGATGGGCCTGAGCCCTGGTAAATGACGTAGGCTCTTCGTCACTAGCATCACAGAAGCTACGTACAATGGGCAGTAAAGAGATCTTGAGCGAGTGACATTTTCATTGTTCGTGTCGAAATTATGCTGGCAATGGAACAGCAGCCCAAAGATCTCCGACGCGTTAAGATGGAGCTAATGATTGGATCTCCAAATTCGAGTACTCGGGGACGAATCATACGGCCGGGGCAGCAGCGCCAACAACGGTCTTGCCAGACATGGTTTCAAGACGTTTGAATCCTCCATGCTGCTTCACACCCTCCTGCAGCTCGACCATCCGCTTCTGATCGCCAGTAGGATCGTCAGCTTCCTCCTCGAGTCCCCAAGCCAAGTACTCATTTGTGTAGTTAGGCTTGAAACTGTCATCCAACACACCGAGCCTCTTGCCGTAGCGGGTGACCTTCTCCCAGTCACGCTGCACGTTCTGAAGATCGGGACTGAAGTACGCAAAACTACGCTCGAAGATCTTGCGGTTGGTAGGCGTGTTCATAGCCGACTTGAAGTTGCAGAACTCCTCCCAGGCTTGATCAGGAGACGCGAGGACGAAGTCAGTCGCGCGCTTGCATGCGCGAAGAAAGGCGCGGACTTTTTCAGGGTTCTGCTCGATGAAAGCGTTGTTGCCGATGTAGAGGATGCTGCAGAAGCAGCAACAGCCGAGTTGAGCGAGCTCATCAATGCGTAGCATCTTCACTTCGTCACGCGAGCGGTTCTGGCTGACGAGCCACTCTTCAAGCTCGACCATCTGGACGTTTTCGAGACCGATGCCGGCGTCGATTTCGCCCGTGATGATGGAACGGGTCACGTTCATGCCAACACGGACGGCCTGGTAGTCGTCAGGTGACATGCCGTAGTGTGCCGTGAGCTCGTCGAGCTGGATCTTTCCGAACTCGCCGACGTAGCCGATCTTCTTTCCCTTCAGGGTGGTGAATTCGGGAGTGATGCCGGACGATGTCAAGTACACGACACCAGTGAAGGGCTCATTGAGGAGAGAGCCAACTGATTGCACGGGAAAGCCACGAGCGGCTGCGGCGAGCGTATGAATCATCGCCTTGAAGCCGAGATCAACCTTGCCAGACCCGATGATCTCGGTGACATCCTGGTATGATTAGCTCTTGAAAAACGATCAATGGCGTTGGCCATACACTGGGATCATTGGGCTCAAGGAGAGCGACTTTAATGCCTTCATCCTTGAAGTATCCCTTGCTCTGAGCAAGGTAGAGGGGAGCGTGGTATGGCGTAGCGTGCCTGTTCACCGTCAGCGTACACCTCATTCAACCTAGATGCAAAGCGCACCAGTTGGTCAAGAAGGTGATCTTATCAGTCGACATCTTGACTTGGGTGCAGAAGCTGAGCTAGTCAGTACGCCAACATAGTGGGGAAGGGGTCATCATGAAGCAGCAATTGTCCTTCGCGCTGGAATTATCCAGATCAAGTTTGAACGGTATGATCTCAGAACAAGCCATCAACGATCAGGTCCCGGGGAGGGGCCTGATCCGCTGATGACTTGAACACCCGCCATGCTTTGCTTCTGATGGTTGAGATGGGTACCTGATGATGCCATGCTGGGCACCTGTAACTTGACCGAGATGCAATTCTGGTGTGCGAAGAGCGAGGCCGAATAGGCTTCGCTTTGCTGGTTCGATGATAGCATCGTACCAAAGTGGGTTGTATTGGGTTGGTGAAAGCTGGATAGGTGCGATTGGAAAACGTTGAGGAGCAGTTGAGGACGCAGCTTGAGGCCACGGCTAGAACCGGATACTTATACTTTACGTCTCATACTGTCGACTGAGGTCATGTATGGATAAATTGCTCACTGTAGGTGCATGTGTTGGGACATGGTGGGGCAATGAGGGGTACACTTCCCTCGTGGGTCAAAACACATCACTGAACCACAAGACGCGTCTCACCATGCAGACGGGATGTCTTTCAGCAATCATCATTCGTTTAGATTCAATTACGGATTGTCCGTAAGCCGTGGCTCTGATTTGGGTGGGCGATCTAGGTTTGCTGAACCACGTCCTTGGGAACTCACACGATGATCTTGTCTTTTTTCAGCGAACGGATTACTTCATTAAGATAGCTGCGTCGCGCCAAAGCCAAACAAGTAAGAAGAGATAATTGTCCACTGCTGCAATTCCGTGGGCTGATGCTTTACGTGTCATCGAAGCATCAGCAAATGACACGCACTATGACTAAAACTTCCCCTCCGAATATCGGTAGTATGAAGAATCGAGGGTATCTCGCAGATGCAAAGATTCGTGGGATGCCATCGAGATTACATCGCTACCGTCCTTTCTTGCAGCCACCCGTTCAAGCCCTGCCACATCGAACTATCCATGTCTTTATCTCCCAACCTCTTGCAGAAGTGCCTCAAAGCCTCGCACCTCTGCTTGATCCAATCTCTCTTCTCGTCTTCGCGGCCACCGTGCAGCTCTCCAGCAATGGCATGTGCAACCTTTGCTTCGCATACTGGACACAGATATGGCGGTTGTCTTACATCTTCCTTCATGCTACCTGTACCCTGCATATTACATGCATAGTATACACAATGGTCGAGCGCGAAACAATGTCCTAGCTCATGTGACACTGTACGCGCGAGACGTGAGAACCAAGGCGCCTGTCCTTCTTGCACCGATGATGTAGGCCTATATGCTGTCGCGGCTTGGGTAGCCGCTTTCATCGCCCCACTCTTGCTTAGTTCTTTTTGTTTCTTCGTCGCAGGTTTTGCCTTTACATCCTCTACAGCACATAGTTCATCGATAAAGGTTTTGCAATGACTCCACGGCCACATGTGGTTTCGGTCGATCTCCTCCCCTTTCCGTTCATCCAGTATTGGGTTGTATCGCGCAGTCTGCACGACAGCAACTCTGCTGCCTCCATACGCCCTGCCACAGCAGAAGTCATCATCGTCAGACTCGTAGATGTCGTGGTCGACTAGGACGACCATCGCATAAGCGTCATTAGGCAGAATTGAGATGGCTGTGTCGAGGATGTCGTCCAAGTTCAGTTGAGCAGGGAAAGCAGTGTCCGGCGCAGGGCGAACGCGGATTCTGGTACACCGATCTCCATGTGATAGACCGATGTACTTCGGCAGAGCGGCACTTCGACAACCCATGGCGGACTTCGTATTGGAGCCCCACGATGTCCAGGTCAATGGCGTGGGGAAGAGGCGAACAGGCATGGCGTGATAAAATGCAGTAAGATAGTCGACAAAGTGATCTGCAGATGGAGGAGATGGTCCGGCTTTACCCTCGCTTTTGACTTCATCGTGACCGGTTGGTACTACCCAGTGCCTCATAAAGTCCGCTTTGAAACTGACTCCAGGCACTTGCACCACATACAACTTATTCCTTCTTGGCGCCGATGATAGTTTGTTCCTACATTCCTCGTTCAGCCATTCCTTCGTACTTTGCGGTGAAGAATCTGGGTCATAGTTGAGCTCGTCGTGAGGTAGGACTAGAGGAGCGGGAAATGTTCCAATAGGACGTTCCTTGACACTCTTCGGCACTCTTCCAGATATCGTTTCTGCTGCTGCGCGTGCTGCGGCATCCGGCTGTTCATATCCAGCGAACTCTGCGAAGGGCGACGGATTTAGTTGTAGAATGGTGTGCTTACATGCCATAGCGGGTGTCAGTACGGAACGAAATAAAAAGAATGAAAGAAGAAGGAATAAGGATAGGGACTGCTGCCTGAATGGCGGCTGGTTGTCTTGGACGCTAGGCAAACCCCCGCGATTCATGTCTACACCTCGCTTCATGCCGCCGGGTCATCGTGCCTGATTCTCTCTTCCCATCCCCTGTGCACCTTCGACCGTACTTTCACCACAGCGGGTCGTTCCTTCCCCAGTATAGCAAACTCCCCCCAATCGCCAAGCTGTTGAAGATGCCAACGTAGTGACCCGCGATCTTGTCCTTCGCTCCATACGCGCTGACAATCACCGTGTCCGCGACGGTTGCGACTAATCCCGCCATGACCGCAACTCCCAAGCTCCTCCTGTCTCGCAGTACCAGACCAAAGACTGCCAACAGGACGCCGTTCTGAACGTTGCGCGCTGCTATCGCTGCAACCAGGGCTTTCTTGGTCTTCTGATCCTCGTCGTAGGTACTTTCGGTATTGCTGGATCGTTTCGCAGATGCGGGTGATGTGTCGGACTCGGCTGAGATGGGCAGACCGTAGCCATCAGCGAAGAAGGAGGGGTTGCGTAGACCTATTATTCCGAAAGGGACGATTTCGAGGGTTGCGATGAAGAGCGCGAGGCATTCCGCTGGCGGAGGTAGGTGGTGGAAGAGGTTGCGGGCTTGAGTTGTCATGGTGGCGGATTGGTTTGACCGTCAGGATGATCTCGGAAAGAGTTGCAGCGCTGCAAGGCTTGAGAAATGGGACGAGACATGGTGAAGTCTTATAGAATCAGTTGCCATCGATGCAGGAGAGATGTAGGTGTATGTAGACTTCCTTGAGCTCCCATTGGCTGATAACTTCGGACTTCGGCTGCGGGGATCGCAGGGCTGTCGCGTCGACGCGTCTTCCGCCCCATCGTTTCGCGCCTCATAACTTCTACAACATGTGAACACCACTGTGAAGAGTAATGCGTGATTACTACTTCGATTCCCCCGATAAAGTCCCGCGATGAAGGCTTTCTGGCATGCGTCATAGTGAAGACACGTCTCCAGTGAACCACGCCCCGGGCGATACCGGCTTCTCCTCCACACCCAGCGAGCGCGCTGCAATGCCGAATGAAGGGGGAAGATGCTTTCACGAGAAAGGAAGCGTGAATGAGAATAGAGCCCACCTGGAAAGAGATGGAGAGTGAAGATCGACTACCGTCAACTCTGGACTTGGAGTGCACAGGGAAACAGTGTCGTTGAGGCATCATGGCTGAGTGCATACCGGGAGGCGTATATGTGCTATCACTCCTTCACTCGGTGGGAATGAGTGGGTATATTGGCTCGCAGTAGCGACTATCTTGGGATTGGATGAGGTTACTTCCTTGGAGCGGATAGGCACATGGGAAACTCGTCTGTCCGCGGTCTCGTCCTATCAGAGGTTCGTCATCTCAAATATCAGCGCACGTAAACGCATCGCTACCATAATTTGCCTGAGATTGTGAAAGGCTTTAGAAGCGGTACAATGCTTGTTTGCATGTGCGGTGAAACTAGGTTCAGCTTTTGACAGCTCGACTGCGCCTGCTTTCTGTCGAATTTTCCCTCGTGTGGCGCTCTTTCCTTCCAAGGTTGTCTTCACTCGACCCTCAACACCACGGAAAGCTTGGACTCGCCTCGCACACTTCCGCCTTCACACGCACCTCTCAATTCTGCTAGCCGCTCCCTCCCCAGTACATAATCCGCCCTCCCTCACCTTTCTTCTTACTCTCTCCACACTCGCTCCTCAACTGCGCAGCTACAACTCTTGCGTCCCGAAGCCCCGACCGCCAAAATTTTCTGTCGACCTTGCGCGACTTGAGCCTTCCCTAGGCGATCTGTGTCTATCAAGCGAGCTTCGCCCTCACCTCCGCCTCCCACACCTCACGAACCGCGGCCCAACGCCCGACCCCTACCTCACTCGTCGAGCGATCGCATAAGATGGCGACGGCTCCTTCCTTCTGGGCTGCTGGCGGCAGCAAGATCAAGTCCGCCGAGTCTCCCAACCCGAAGATCGCAGAGGCGCCGCCCAAGGCCAAACCAGACCCTCATCAGAAGAAGGGTCTCGTACTGAAGGGCATGACCAACGGCCAGGCTACCAATGGCGCATCGAACGGTCTTTACCCAAAGGCCGCTACTGGCAAGAAGACCAACTGGGCCGACGAGGACGATGACGATAACACCTTCATCGCCGAGTTCATGAGCCAAGATCCCAAGATCGCCACCCTCGAGACCACCGTTGCCCTCAAGGAGGAGCGCGTCAAGGAGTTGGACGCGCTGGTCGAAACTAAGACGCTTCGCATCGCGGAGCTGGAAGGCGCAGTTCAAGGCAAGGACGCCCACATTGACTATCTCGAGATAGAGATTCAAAAGAAAGATGTCGAGATTGAGAAGCTCAAGCAGGTGAATGGTGACCAGCTCACTTACAACCAGGAGCTTCTGCGCCTGGCTGGAGAGAAAGACACCCAGATCAAGAATCTGAAGGCTGAGCTTGAAGAGAAGGTTTCGGCAATTGATAACCTCGAGCAAGCAAAGAAGGCTGCAACCATTAGCAGCCTCGAGCAGGAGTCGGCCGCACTCGTCCCCGTTCCCACAAACGACGAGGTGACCACCGAGGATGCACCCAAGGACGGAGTCTTAGAGAGCACAAAGTCTAATGGCCCCGACATCATTACCGAGACGAAGACGAATGCTGAGAAGACCGCATCTGTGGCTTCAGACTCAGATAGCTTCGAGATCATCGATCCTCCCATGACTGAGGAGGTCAAGAACGAAAAGCCTGCGATCGTCGTAACTGAGCAGTCCAAGGAAACCGGAACGGCGAAGAACACCAGCGGCCCATCGCTCGTCACATCCTCATTCCCCAATTTTGTGACGAAGGAGACCCTGAAGGTCGTTCCTCCGGCTCCAAAGCCCAAGACCCTGACCTTTGGCATTGACATGTCCAAGTACGGGAAGAAGCCGGCCCCGTCTGCTGCTGCAAAGACCCCACCCACATCGTCGCCCGCTGCCGAACTGAACGGCCATACCACACCCTGGGGCCACTCGTCTAGGCAGGCGCGTGACAAGACCGGTGCTATGCCGGAACTCAACCCTTCGGCTGACATTCGTCACATGCCACACGGGCAGCGCGTCGTCTTCGGTAACGGCCCTGAAGTCATCGTCAAGCTTGGAGAGGTGAAGCTGGCTAGTATTCCTAAGTACGTCCTGATGCAGTGCTCAGGCAAGGCTCACAGGTACTTTACCGCGAATCCTGACGCGACTTCTTGGGTTCTGCCCGCCGGTTCGATGGACGCTGATGCTGCGACCGCACATCTGAAGTGGATGGACGAGATGACCTATCAGAGCAGGGTCTACTCTGTCCGCCTCCAGACTGAGACGGTATATGACAAGAAGAACTTGCATATCTGCCGCGCTGCCCGCGTTCTTGGTTTGAATAACACCTACGTGGCGCAGTTTACCAAGCAGTTCTGCGACCGCATCCGTGCTCAGGATGTGTCCTTCGAGTTCATGGACCTTCTTTGCCAGTTGGCGTACCCTGAAAACGACCCGGTCTTTGACTGCATGGTCCACAACCTTGTCAATCAGAAGAAGGTTGGAAACGCCAAGGGCGCAGCCGATTTGGAGAAGCTGATGGCCAAGCATCAGTCCCTGAAGGAGAATGTAGAGAAGATTGAGAAGCGCATCGGAGGTCGACCACGCAAGACCTGGAACTCGCCCGAGGGTAGTGCTCGTGGTGGAAGCAACGACCGCAGCGGCAGCAAAGGTGGAAACCGTGGCAAGTCAGCACCGCGCAACCCGCCTATCGCACCAGCGCCTGGAAACAAGCCCGTTACTCCGGCGCCTGGTGACGCGTTGTTCACCACTCTCCACTAGGTCCGCCTAGTGACATGACGCGGTGTACGGGAGGGAGGGATGGAGTGCATCGTGGAAAAAAGATGGATGATTAACGACTTCAGCGACGCGAGCGCATTCCAATGCGTTCAAGCGAGCGAGAGTACTGTATGCTCTGTAGTGCTTTGCATTTACAGCGAAAAAGGGTATATAGAGCGAAAGCTTGATTCATTGATAAGGCAGTATAGGATGTCTGGGTGTATCTTCAGCGCCATCAAGGAATGTCAGGTAGTTATAGTTGGTAATGTCATCGATGGATACAAACACCCTTCATACGTGATACATTTGTGCAGCAAACTCTTGAATATCTCTCATTGGGAGTTGTTTGTCTCTTTGGTTCCATTGTCGTAGCCGAGTGTATGTTCTAACATCTACACTCTACACCCTTCCGACTCACACAAAGATACTTGACGCCCTTGTACGGCGTAACACCACTGCCCAAGCCCTTGCTCTTCTTTTGATCTACATTCAGACTCTCCACCTTGATTCCACTCGGCAACCAGCCTTTAACGGAGAAGCTGATGGTTGCGCAGCTCGGCATGAGGACTTTGTTTGCCTGCTTGATCTTCGCATCACTGTCCGGCTTGGCTACGCTCAACGAAGAATGCGCAGGTAAGGAGACCTGTGTGCCCTGATCATCATCGTAATCGTATGTCGACGTCGCGAACGATACAGGTCCACCAGCGTCCAACGCGTCCTCCGCGGATGGGTCATCCTGCCCAATTACAGTCCCGCGTAATGTAGCCGTCGCACCGACCCCTCCTCCGCGGTCTTGCGACATGAGATTGCTAATCTCGCGACTGCTAATGCGCCATTCTATTGCCCTGTCTCCAGGCGCGTAGCCTGCATCTCCTGTTCCACGCGCGACGCGTAGATCCGCGACGTTCCTGACGGACGCTGGAAGTGGGATGTGAATGGTCATTTCTTCGATCGCAGGGGCGGACGTGGTTCCTGTCGAGGAGGATACGCGTCCCAGGCTAGCTTTCGCAGCGCTGGGTTGGGAGGGCTTGTTTCCGCTGAATCGTGGGTTGAGTTGGAGTTTGACTTCGAAGTCTGTGCCGGTCGGGCCGAGGGAGGGGTGGACGGATACTGTAGCTGGTATGTTTAGCTTTGGACTTGAAGTCTTTGCGTTCTTCTCTGTGGAGAAGGCGTCCAGTGCTGCAGAGCCCAGCAGGTCCACTTCGTACCCAGCGAGCACGAAGCGACCGTCTGGCGGTACGAACGAGAGTTCACCTGGCCTCGCTTTCCACTGGTTGAGTCTGACGCAGGGATGGAAGACAGGGAGTGAGACCGCATTCTGTATGCCGCCCCCGCATCCCAAGTGTAGTATGAGATCAGGTATTCCAGAGACCTTGGCCGTGAAAGCGATCGTGCCGTTGGCCATGGCGGCTAGAGGGCGACCCGATGGTGATAAGGTGACCTCTAGTGTTTCCACGATATCCACATACATCTCGTTGCTCGTATGCCTGACGTTCGCTCTTCTCCACGGCACCGGTGAGCCTGTCTGACTCGAGGTCGGTGATGGTCCCAGTCGTGGGCTTGCTCTTCCACCGCCTAGACCAAATGCTCCGGTAGCAGAGGGCGCGAGGGAGCTCGGTGTCGAAGAAGGCAGTCCCACTCCTCCCAGTAGACTCTTGAGTAGATTCGGCGCCTCGACGACATCTCTCAGCGCGTTCGGTTCTGTGTTCGCGATGATTCCGCCATCCACCATCTCGCTGAGTAGTTGCGCGACGACATCGTAGTTTCCCTCGATCTTGCTCGCCAGCAGTGGTGACCCTAGGAAGTCTTCGAGTACGTCGGTCAGGCGGTGGAGGAAGGTGAGGACGGCGAGGGGATCGGTGTCTGCTGATGCCGGGCACAGGAACAGAAGCTGGTCCTGTATTATGCTGTATAGCAGTGTCGGCGGGTTGGTGTTGGGCAGATATATCAGCGGCGGCCGGGGGGCGGGATGCGCGAGATAGAGAGGCAGGAGAACGGAGGATGGAGGCGGGCGGTTGAGGTATGTGTGTTCGAGGAGTGGAGTGCTAAGGATGTTAGAGAGGAATGACGTGATCGCTGGAACAGATGAGTCTTACTTGTGCTCATCAAAGATGTAGAGAGCTTCGATTGCGCTCATGGTGGGAAATGTCAGCTGCGAGCCATGCGCGTGGGAAGACGTGAGGTCCGCGTCGTGGGGCAGTTTGGGCGGGGAGCTGCCGGAGCTAGAAAGATCCCTGCATGGCTAGCATGTCATGCAGACTTCTGGTCGCAAGATCTTTACACGATAGAGCCAGCGTGTTGCATCTGAGTTAGTTGCTGGGTTGTCTGTCTAGCGTCGCGATAATGGCGCTGCCACCTCCTTCCGCTCCGACCTTCAAAGAGGCTCTCAAGAATGACAGAGCGGAATTTGAAGATTGCACTCCATGTCGCGTAGTCGGTATTGTACTCTAGAACACACTGTATCTACCTCAGTACTGACATAGTTGTTAGGAAGCGCTACATTTCTGGGCCTCGGCGCCTTCACGTACGTCTCGGGCCATTCACAGATCAAAGCCAACGAAGCCGCGATACGAGCCAGCAAAAGCATGTTCGGAATGCGGAGTAGGGGAATGGCAATAACAGGAACAAGCGCCGTCATGGTGGGCCTGGGGTTATATCGGTGGTTTGCATAATGGGAGGGGTACAAGGAGACGCTTGAAGGTCACAAGCCTGGAACGGATACCTAGGTATTGTAGGTGGAAAGACTTGAGTACAAACTTGGGCATGCATCGGCGTTTGGGAATCACATCTTCACGAACGAGATGAGTCACTGCATATGGCATACAACAGTTGAGGACATGTAATGATGGTATTAACACCCTCCAAAAAAAAACGCTATCTACTTCCACCCCCGAATGATGTCCCACCCCGTAGAAAATGCGAAAAGGTATATAGCCTCCGAAATCAATAACACCACAGAATGCGTCTAGTAAGCCTCCCCCAATGCGTATGAAAAATGATCCACTAGCCCTGTGCGCCGTCTGGGTATGATGCAAGTAGTCGTGATTCGTCGAACAGTCGTTCGTGTCATTGCCTGGAGTTCGATGACAGGCCCTCAGGCTTCGAGCTGCGGTGCTATGACATGCGTCCGCGCTTGGATCCTCCGCCGGATGAGCCGTCTCGCCGGTCGTTGAAGCCATCGACATTGAAGAAGTCGTTCATGAGTCGTCTCTTCTGCCCTGCACCGTTGCCTAGTTGGAAGAGGTTCTGGGCGGCGGATCGTTGGAGGTTTCGGGTAGACGAGCGGTTTGTGGGGCGGCGAGAAGCAGGGAAAGCGCGGCGGGCAGCAGCTGACATGTCGGCGGCAGCGGTCTCGTTTGGCGATTCAGACGGGAGAGCTTGGGCTGCAGAGAACTCGAAGATGTGGTGTAGTGGCGACATGTCGGCCTCGGTCGTAGAAGCTTCCATCTGGAGGGGCGGCGCAGAGTCAGAGCGTGTGTCCGTAATCGTTGTGGGTGCCAGCGTGCGTGAGTCGTCTATGCCGTGGGTTCGGTCCATGATGGGTGATGAGCTTCTGGCGCGGTTGTGGTCGAGGTATTCGTCGTCGCTGTCGCTGCTCGTCTGCTTGGGCAAGCTCCCGTCTAGTCGTTCCGTGGCCCACTGCCGTATTCGCCAGCCCTCGCCGTCGCCCACACCAATATTTTCCTTGTCCAGGAAGGTGAGCAGCTCATCGAGAGCCTCCTGGTAGCCGTCGGTACGGGCCCTGTCGATGTCGGCAAGCGCGGACTTGTACAGGTGCGTCACGTTGAGGGCAGCGGTGCGGAAGGACTGGTGCACGTCGTGCTGCCCTCTTGTCTTGGGCAGCGACTTGTTGAGGCTGCGCATCGAGTCCATGGTGGTTGTCTGAGCTGTTGGCGGCAGGTGCGGTCCTGTCAAATCTTTGTCGGGCTCCACTGCGTTGTGGCCGGTGTTCGGCACCCGTGGGCGATGCAACCGTGATGGGGAGCGAAGTGGAAGAAAAAAAGTAGATGAAGCCGATAAGGTGAACGACAGTGCTGTTCACTCGGAAGAAGCGTGGCTTCTCGTCGCTCGCTGGGTTGAGGTCGTGCGCTGCTCCTGGACTCGCGGGGTTGACGCTATCACGGGCTCTTAGCTCCGGGCTAGGCCCTGACAGCATGTGCCACCCTTCACCCGTCCCCATCAACATCCTTGATTCACAGCCCCAGCTTCCAGTCAGCATGCCATCATGACTTCGCACTTAGAGCAACTTCCTGTCGAGCTGTTCGAGCTCGTTGCTGCCACTCTTAACCTCTCGTCTCACAAAAGCCTTCGTCTTGCATCCAAGAGATGTCGCTTCCTCACCCATTCTGTATTTGTAGAACGCGCTTTCTCCCGGCTAAAGACTACTCTTGGACCACCCTCTCTCAACCGTCTCATCAACGTTGCGCAGTCGCCTCATTTCCGTGGTTCTGTCAAAGTCCTACAGATCCAGCTCCTGACATCAGCGGAGTATAGTGTCCTCGCTGCTATTAGCCGTGTCGGCAGGTTTCCGCCACCCAAACGATTTCCCAGGGTACCTGGCATCCAAGACAAAGATATCAAGGACGAAGCACCCACATTCACGTATGTCGTGGAAAGCGAGTATCCAACCCGCTTGTACGATGGCCTTGTTCGAGCATTGCGAGGCTTCACCAACCTGACGGCCGTTCACTTCCATCCGAGGGGATCCCAGCTCGCGGAATCCAGCAGTCTTCTGTCCGCAACTGATCGCCTATTTCGTAGTAGATGCTTTCAGGTTGTCGTGGACGCCATCGTTAACAGCGAGGTCCGTCTGAACGAGTTTCGTATGGCCAAGTGCAAGCGTGGGACTGCGCTGCATAAGGAGGCTATCCTACCATTCTCAGCCCTCCAAATACCTACGCAATCTCTGAGGACACTACACTATCGCTTCTCGCACCTCAAAGTTCTCACTCTCTCTGCCTTGTCTAGAAACGATGACCTCTCTCGCACACCTGGTTGGCAGAATGGGGTCGGAAATATCATTGCCACTGCACCAAAGTTGAAAAGCTTCACGATGAGTCTCGATCGGACTAACTATGCCGCAGCCATCGTTCACCACATGGTTGCTTCTTGCGCTTGCCTTAAGTTAGAAGTACTCCAGCTCATGTTTTGCGCATTGCAGGGAAACGACCTAGTCGCTATTATTAGGAGTCAGTCTACGACATTGCGACGAGCTGTATTCTCTGACCTTCGCCTTGTGACTGGCACTTGGTCGTCAGTATTACACGCTCTAAAGGAATGTGGGAATCTCGAACATCTGCGCTTCAGCTCGCACTCGGGGGCAGAGCATCCAGTTCGACGTCTGGACGTGGCCCGAGGACATCGTACAATGACCGATATGGTGGATGAGTTCATCGCGGTCTTCGATACTACAGCAGGTGCTTCTAACTCACAAGAAAGTGGCTTCGTTGACCCTCATCATCACGCTGGTCTGTCATTGGCCAGAGCCAGTACCACAGTACCAAGTGAATGAGAGACTCACCCACGGTTACCAAACTACACCACTCTGCTCTTGCGTTGTCGTTAATCAACGCCCATTCGGCTCACTACTATCACAGTCCATCTGAGTGATATTCTGGTTTCCACCCACCTCGACGCAACACGACTTGATACACTCCTCAACCGTATCGGTCACGCTGAAAATGACACCGATGTCCCGACTCTCGAAGGCGGACGTCCGCCTATTTTTGCGACAGCTCCAGGCCAATTCTGCCGACGTGACCAAGTGGGAACCCATGATGCGCCTTTCCCTGCTGCGCGGTGGGCTCATTGATTTTACAATTTATGGCCGCCGTGTAGCATCAGCGCCTCGTCTTGCTTTGATGGCTGTATCTCAGAGCGCTCTTGCATCCCTCGCCAAGCATCCTTGCGCACCAGCAATCAACTTCACCTTCGACGTACCCGCTGTACAGCTGCGAGGTGGAAATGGCCAGGCAAAACTCGTCTCCGGGAAGGGCAAGATGCGCGAAGCTCAGATCAAGATCCATGAAGCTGCTCTTATTGCGATCTCACAGTGGCTTACCGCCCTGTGCACACCCGCACTGATGCCTATTGCCGGAGCAAGCTTCTCGATCGAGACGTGCATCCGCTTCATCTGCGTTCACACTCTACACGCGCCAGAGTGTGTTCAGCACCTGACTGACAAGTTCATTACAAACGCCGGTAAGCTTGCGCTGAGCTCGCAGCAGGTTACAGAGCTTGTCAGGTCGCGCCGCGGTGACAACGACCAATTGCTCATGGGGCTTGCGGAGAAGTTGATTGGGAAGAAGCTCGACGGCCAGCTCGCTCCTAAGCAACTGAGCATGTTCTTGTGCAAGGCAGGCAACGAATTACTGAAGAAGAAGGTCGAGACCCTGGAGAAAGAGATGGGCCTCACGACTGAAGGGACGGATTCGAAGGCGGCATTGCAGTCCTGGACTGAGGGGTTTCCTCCCTCATCCCCCACAGCGGCAATCCGTTCCGCAGGTCGGATTCATGAGATCAAAAACCATGAGATCATCGAGATCGACACAGACATAATGGAAGTGGATGCAGACGGGTGGCAAGTACCCCCTCGTGCGAAAGAGGAAGCGGCAGCGTCGAAGAGGCAAAAATTGACGCACAACAAGGATGGTAAGAAGTAAGGAATGGTCAAGCTGGAGAGGGATTGACCGGTTCGAGCTGAAGGCGCTGTGGGCTGTGACCTGGACATCCGAGTCGATCTCTGATCGTCGACCGGGAGTACTATACAGGTCTAGTACGATGCGTTGATGCCAGTCTCTAATGATGGGCTGCCTGTAAAGATCCTACGTGTACGAAGGAAATTCTGCTCTTCAAACTGAAATGGAAACAATACTACCATCTGCTGATGTGTTTACGGGGCTAGACTATTGTGCATCGCCTGAGAAGCTTATACGGGTGATAACTAATACATCCTAACTCATTTCGCCTCCGCTCGTTCGTGAACGACCTAGATACCGGTCAGTCCCCACCGACTAAGATGATGGCCGTGATTCGGCACACACCACCGAGCGAGATGTCTACACGAACATGCAGTTGCTCCACAACGCTACCGCCACCACGAAAGCTTGATCTCACATCGATCTGCGTCGCTTCAACCATTCCGACATCTAGCGAGAACCTGCATGCATCGGAGCTCTAATGAGTGGGTAGTGGGGTAGCGCTGACCGGAACACCAAGGTTTTGCCGGCAGGACGCCTCGCTCTCGCCTGCGTCTGCGCAGGTAGCACAGTACCGAATACTTGGGAATAGATCACTCTACTCCAGGGTCTGGCTGAATCTGTGTATGAAGGAGCAGGGCCTGCATGAGATGGAATCGGGATGGAATCGCTGGTAGAACCCAATCTAATTATGGAACCGTCTAGTAGCGCGCTGCGGGCGAGCCCTGACGTCTTGTCAAACTATCGCGAAATGTCTCGCCGTGTCAGCAACAACCCTCAGACCTGACAGTACGCACTCAGAATCTCATCGTGCCCAAACGAGACGACGAAAAAACCAATTCGGCTCTCCATGCTGAGGTCCGAGCAGACTGTGCGACGAATGCACTGCTTCTGGAAACATTCTGTGGATCACCCTTATGCCGATGCTGTCGATCTCACGTCGGGGATTTTGAGCACCGACAACAACACAGCAACGCGCCAAGATCAACATTCCATGACCGCGAAACCCTGAAGCCACTTGTCAGCGCCAGCGCTGAAGATACGTCTATCACACCTGTCAGGGTCCGGGCCTTGCTGTAGCTCGACATTAGTAACTGGGAACGTGTTCCGGTGCGCGATACTAGGCAGGAAGTCGCATGTAGCGCGAGGCCGCCAACGGCTTACACGACCCCCATCCACCAATGCCATGGACCGGAATCGTCAGATCTTAGAAGTGGATACGGCTCGAATCGGTCAGAATGGATACAAGAGATGCAGAGGGTGAGGAACTGTAGATTGCCGGTGGGTAAGATCGCTGTTTAGTGTTTATCGAATTTCCTACAGTTTTGCGCGGATGCGTCGGTACGGCTGTCATCACCATCGGTCTAATTTTGATCGCGACCCATCTCACGGTCAGCCGTTGAGAGCGGCGAACGTTGGTGTTTGGGTATATATTTCTTTGGAGTTTCTCGAGTTTGGTTTCGTCAGGCTCAACAGTTCAGCACGGTTTCTTCTTTCTTTCTTCTTTCAAATTCGCTAGCCTTGCGTTCATATACTGGTATCATTACGATCGTTGAAGTCGAATCTTTGAGCAACACAACACTATCTCCAAGGACCTTCGCTACTTCTCCAATATGCGTTACTCCGCCATCACCCTCGTTGCCCTTACGGCGACATCAACTTCGGCCTTCTCCCTATGGCCTCGCCAAAGCTCTAGCTGTCCTTCCGTCTGGTCTGACGTCGCCACCGAGCTTCAAGCCGACTTTGCTGGCTGTGGCGCGGATGCTCACCAAGCTCTCCGTGCTCCCTTCCACGATTGTATCAACAACGGCTGTGACGGAAGTCTTGTCCTCACTGATGAGTGTGGAAGATCAGAGAACGCCGGTCTCTCAGCTATTTGCACGAAGCTCAAGGACTGGAGCGACAAGTATCAAGTCAGCGCCGCAGACATGATCCAGTTCGCCGGCGCACAAGCAATCGCCGCGTGCCCGCTCGGCCCCAGAGTGCAAGCACTAGTTGGCCGCAAAGACAGCTCAAACGCCGCGCCTGTCGGAAGTGTACCTAGCAGCCGTGGCACCCTGGAGAGCATCTTGGGAGCCTTCGCTGCGAAAGGCTTCTCATCCGATGATGTCGTTGCTCTCATGGGTGCGCACAGTGTGGCAGTCCAGTTCCATGACGACCCATCGCAAGCCGGAAAGGGTCTCGACTCGACGCCTTTCCGATACGACAACACCTTCTACCAAGAGACCAAGGACCGCAAGGCCCCATACAGTCTCCAGAGCGATCTTCTCATGTCCAACTCTTCACAGGTATGTGTTCACTGTCTTGATTCTCTCACCTGATCCGTCGCTAACTATCTTTGCAGACAGCAACCACATGGTCCAACTTTGCCGAAGACGCAAACAGCTGGTCTACCGCTTTCACGAGCGCATGGGACCGATTCGCAGTCATCGGAAGCGACGTCAGCAAGCTCCAAGATTGCTCGAGCTTGGTCCCCAATGGCTTTGTGACCACGAAGAGGCAAGCGTTCAACATGGCGTTCACCAAGAAGATGAGCGCAAAGTTCAGGTTGTAGGACAGAAAACAGCACATTTTGCCCAGTCTGGATAATAATAGCGATGGCATGGCGTTTGGGTATTAGACCATGGTGGTTCTGGGGTGGCTCTACTGTGCTTTCAAGATACTCCGCAATACGTTGCACGTTAATGTTTACTTTCATTAATGTATTACATCAATCTCATCGTACTCTTGCCGTTATCATCCTCGGCATGTGCGCGCTGATCTCGTTCTGCAGTCAATATGGACCCTACAAGAGAAAGACCGATTCGAGTAGATGAGAGAACGATCTTGAACACGCGGGTAAAAGGAGGCGGTGTGGCAGTGTGCTGCCTACGAACGACGCTACCTCAAACTATAGACGGTTCCTCGAAGACACGTCTAGAACTTTTTCACAAGACGGACGCTAGACGATATGACTCTCCAGCCTAGCCTCTGAACCTGGAGACTTTGATGAGGACTCTGAGGTCATTTTCCGATTGCGTCACAATGCAGGTTCATCTTCACCATCATCCTCGTACAATTTCTCACCATCACCACTCACTTTCATCGTATCACGCAGGCGACGCATACAGGCGCCTTGGAGCTTATGGCATTAGTTCCGCCGGATCCTAACTTGCTCCACTACACCACTACACCATCAACCCCCGCGAGTGGCACATCTCGACGCGAGTGAACATGGCGTAAGTATTCAGCAACCCTACTACCACTCTTGTGCTAACTTGTCAGTGGAAGAAAGCGAGCACTCGAGCCTGCCGTTGATGGCGGGCCTGCTGCTGCGACAAGGACCCGCCGCAAGCGCGCTCGCAAAGAGGTGATCAACGACAAGTCTCTGCTGCTGAAGCTCCCCGGAGGTGAGTGACATCATCAAAGGAACCATTAGAGTCTAGCTAACTGGATGAGCAGAGTTGAGAAACCGCATCTACGAGTCCATCATGGAAGACGTGAAAGAGTACAAGAAGGGCAAGACTTCAAAAGCACCGAAACGTGAAGGAGCTGGGTATCGGAACTTCCGCAATGATGAACCCATCCACATCAAGTACACTTCCATCAAATCTCGCAAGCGCTACAAGAGCGTCAAGCAATGGACAGCCGCCCACGAACGTCGTCCTTACTTCGGTTTGACCCAGGCCTGTCGTATGCTGCGCGAAGAATTCCGGCCCATCTACATGAGTGAACTTGGGTTCTGTATTGACCTGCATGCTGGCCAGTACCTCGCCGCTTTTGGATCCAACGAAGAAGAACAGAGCATCGGTCAGTCTGTTGCGAACATCATGCAAGTCCCACTCTCGGACGATGGAGCGGACCTGCTTCCTTTCTTGGAGAGGCTCCGTGAACTGAAGCAACCGCGACTGGACAACTCCCGCGTAACATACGGTGGACAGCGACACTGGAACCGAGACATTCTGTTAGCTATACTTTGTTGCGAGTTTCAGAAGGATACAGGTGGTCTTGCCAAAGCCAAAACTGGCATCATCAAAGTTACTGTCGTCAATAGTATGGGAGCAGAACATTACCTACGATCGCACGACATTCCGATGCTGGTGCTGGATCTGGATGCAAAGTTCTTCCCGTCGCAGAACCTACATGTCATGGAAGCTCACATGAGTATGTTGCTCTATCGCTTCGAACTGCAAGAGCTCAACGGCATGTTGACACGGTTTCGTTGTGGGGGTGAGAGCTTCACTTTTTGCTCTCATGCGGCTGGTTGGTACGGAGACTACCCAACGCAAGTCGTGCTAGTTCGTAACTGAGGTCTTGGGATGCATCTGCAAGACAAGGGAGGCGGGTGTCGAGATCCGAAGGTTATCTGTGGTAGCCCAAGATTTGAATCAGTCTCGTGCAGTCTCAGAAGCCGCAATCCTTCGATTGGCTCCGATTCTATAGTGTAGTAATGCACGTATGGCCCTGGAGATGTACAGGATCGTGATGGTCAATGCATAGAAATGCTCAGTACAGTGAATACGCCCACTGTATGTCACGTCGGTCGCAACGTTATGCTTCGAGGGACCTGGAACATACCATGATAGTATGGTGGTGTCGACGATACATGTTGGAAGTAGCTTCCTTACTGATTCCGCTGACGTCAAGCGCGAAAATCTGGGCGAAAGGGCCTTCGGCTGCCAACCTCAAAGGGAAGCTGCGAACGTCATCCACCCTTGTAACAACAGTGCCACGCCTACCCTCCAAAGAAACAAGCTCTACCTACACACCAACACCATGACCGCGCCTCCGTCCTTGACGTCTCCACCCAATATTCGCAGATCGCGCGAAAGCGACCTCATTCACGAAAATGACACGTCGTTCTCAACTATCGCGTTCTTGCCTACAAGCTTTTGTCTGCTCTTTCCGAGAATGCCAAAAACCATTGCTGGAGATCACAGCGGCGTTTCATTCTACGTTCGCACTTATGACATACATGGTTTACTGGTACAACCCTCCCAACATCTAGATACCCGTCATCATTATCAGGGGACCAGGCGCGCATGCTATGGCAGCACTTCTTGCTGTATTCTCCACGCAAGATTATGCTCAAACAAACAAGGTTAGTAATCTGTCTAGCGAAACTCACAGTTCAGTTAAACCTGCAGTTTGTACGAAACCTAACAGAGACGGAGCGATACATTGACATGAGAGATGTCGTCTTGAATATGGGATGGAATCGGTTTACTGCTCGTAATCCGAATACACCGGTGGTAAATACGAACCCTCCAGGAGATTTGGGGAGAGATTTACGGAAAGAGGGCTCGTCTAAAGGCTTGTGGGGCTGGAAGTATCAAAACTTAGCTACGTCACTGGGAGTACCGCACGCTTACCGCCCAAAAGATGAGCCCGGTGTCGCATCGGGTAATCGGTTCACCAGACCGGTTTGTAACATCAGCAGTACCATATAAATCTTCTCTCACCTTTACTATCCATGGATCACCTTGACCTTCAATCCGACTATACGCACGTGCCACACCGACTAGTAACAACCGTATAAGCGAGGAGAAGTCGATTAATATAAGCTGCTATTGCTGCAACCTCCACCACGATACGATCAACCTTTCCAAGTTTGAACGAGAAGTCGCAACCCAAAAGCCATGGCGTAAGCGTCCACTATCCGTTCAACAGCTTCAAGACTAACCGCTTAACAGATCAAAGCGGCAAGGCAACGCACTTCTTGATCTCAAGGGCCCCCCTCCTAAGCGGGCTCGTAAGAACGTTGTCAACAACAAGTCTCCACTTCTCAATCTACCTGGAGGTACGAAGTTCTTGATTTCGAGAGATGGAGGTACTAACCATTCGAATAGAGATCAGAAATCGTATCTACGAACTCGCCCTAGCGGACACAATGCAACAACTTGATGGTGGTCGGATCCGTCTAAGATACGAGTTACTCAAGCTCATTCACATTGACATGCAGCACACCATCATGGACCGTTGCCCGACGACTGAGGAACTCAAGAGCTGGCAGGTCAAGTTAGATGAATACCGGATAGCAGAGCATGGAAAGCGCAAATACTGGGGTCTTGTCCAGACTTGTCAATTATTGCGTCAGGAGTTCCGCCCTCTACAACATAGAACTCTACCTTTCACCATCTCAGCGCAGTATCTTGATCGATACCTTTGCGATTTTGGCACAACAGAGGATGCATTGGCTCTTGGAAAGTCGCTCAAGGCTATCGTCAAGCGACCCCTCATTTCGGATGTGGGGTTGGATATCCTGCCGCTGCTGAGAAAGCTTTCCAAGCAACGGGGGTCGCTTCCTTGGCTTACTGAGCCTTACCTTGGAAACGAAAGCCGTTGGAATACTAGCGACCTGCTCACTGCTTTGGTGAAAAGTTGGGCCAAACCGCCAAAGGGTCTCGAGGCCGTTGAGCGTGACATTGCCTCTGTCACTCTGACAATGGGCAATGTCCACGACACCCCCGGCGCTCGTAACCGGCCATCTCTGATCATTGGACTACGCTGCGCCTGTTTCATCGATCTCACGCCTGATGAGAAAGCCGCAACCATGCTCGGGTTTATCAAGGCGACCGGGATGGAGAAATTTCGTCACTTCATCACGGAGTTCCGCTGTTGTGGAAGGCGCTACACATGGCAAACGCCTGGAGGTCAGTCCGGGGCAACCGAATCATCGATGCAGATCTCTGAAGTCCAAGACGAGGATTAGCGGTTGTTATTGAGGGATCGGAGTGGACTTCAAGCATGGGTTGGGGTCCTGGTCGATTGGTCGAGAAAAGATTGGCATTCACAGTTTCAGAGGGCGAAATAGCGGTATAGAATCAAAAGCAATGGTTTTTGTTACAACAGCTCCAACATCTTCGGGGTTACGACGCTTGTAATTGATCAAAATGCAAGAGAGATAAGATTGAGCGCATGCAAAACGCGGTATCTGCACGGCAACACCAATACGAGATCGACTGGTGTTGTGGTGATGGAGCAGCTCTAAGGCATACGATATCGCATGACTTGTCGCTCATCACCGTTTTATGGGGCAGATACCTCTACGGTATGCTACGGAACGCGTATCGCATTCTACAAACAACTCGGGTTTTTAGGATGCATAATCTTGTAGACTGCCTATTTATGCGTATTTCACATCATGTATACTGCAAACTCTAAGCTACGACACGACGAGCTGTGGCCGCACCTAGTGGCATTAATCTCACGAAAGCGACTAGTCTCGAGTGGCGCATTATCGAGACCTGAGTCGTCTTCAAATTGGCCGCGGCAACCTGTAGAGGGGAATACACACAGCACAAGAGCATCAATGGATTGCATCGGTATGTATCCGATTCAATGGATAAACAGAACGGCCTGAAATTGACATGATGACAAAGTCTGCAGGGCAAAGTAATGATCGTGAAGAAGTAGAAGTATCATTCCAAAAACATCGCTACAAGAATCGAAGTTACCCATCTAGAGTAAGTATATATACAAGATGAACATCGCAAGAATTGCGAGATTGTCTACTGGAGAGCCTCAACCATGCGGCGGATCTTAGCAGCAGACTCGGTGCCAGCCTCCTGCTCAAGGAAAGCGATGAAGGTCTCGAGGGTGTAGGTCTTCTCACCAGCACCGGCTGAGGGTGCGGGTGCGGATGAAGCAGCAGGCTTGGTGGGCTCAACAGCCTCGGGTGCGACGGAGGTAGGCTCGGCCTCGATCGGAGCAGCAGGGGTGGGCTTAGCAGCTGAGGGCTTGGGAGCCTCAGGAGTAGGCTTGGGGGCAGCGCCGGTGGGCTTAGGGGCAACGGCAGTGGGCTTAGGGGCAGGAGCGGAGGGCATAGGACCCTTGGAAGGACCGGGCTTGTTGGCCTCAGGCTTGACGCACTGGGAGTAGTATGGGTTCCACTCCTTGCACTCAAGACCCTCAGCGCACTTGTTGTCACCCTTGAAGCCCTGGCCACCACACTGGTAGTACTCCTTGATGGGACCAGATGGCTCAGCGGTAGGAGTGGGGCGGACAGCGGTGAGCATGGTGGTAGGAGCAACGATAGCGCTGGAGACGGTGCCAGGAAGCATCGAAGAGGTGCTGTTGGCTACGGGGTAGGGGGCGACAACGCTGGAAACCTCAGGAGCAGCGGCAGAAGAAGCGGCAGCAGAGGTGGCGGCGGCAGAGGTAGCGGCAGCGGAGCTCTCAACGGCAGAAGAGACCTCGACTGGGGCAACCGCAGAAGGCTCAGCCTCGGCAGCAGCGCTGGTGGAAGCGGGAGCAGCAGTGGAAGAGGCGACAGCGGAGGCCGGGGTGGAGGCAGCAGGAGTCTCAGCACCGCCGGTAGCGGTAGCAGCAGGAGCACCAGCGAGCTCGCCGAATGTGAGAAGCTCGGGGGTAGCCTCAGTACCACCAGCGATGAGAGCAGGGCCAGGAGCGGGGTATGAGTCGAGATCGGCGTGGATGGAGAAACCAAGACCAGGACCAGTCTTGGAGTAGGCCTCTGGGAAGGTGACACCCTTGGGCTCGAGGGTTCCGCTACCGGTGACGGTAAGCTGGTAGCAGGTCATGTAATGCTGAGCACCACCAGCGGGGCCTGCAGCGTGAAGGGCGATAGCCTCAGCACGGAGGAGGTAGTCACCAGGAGCGATGTTCTTGGGGATGGTGAAGTCGAGCTTGCCGCCTATTGTATTGTTAGCCGTAGTATTCAGAGGACATGATACCGTACGTACAGTTGTAGTTGAGGTCCTTGGTGCCCCAGAAGTCGTTGTCGCCCTGAGTGGCATCTGGGTTCTTCGCCCAGGTGTTCTGGTAAACCTTGAAGAACTCGCTGGAACCATCGGCAGTGGCAGCATCCTCAACCTTGGACATGTATGCGAGGACGGGACCCCAGTGAGCACCACCAAGACCCTCCTCCTTGCAGTCACGGGTGTTGTGCTGGTGCATCTCGATAGTGACTGTGTCACCAGCCTCAAAGTCGCACTTTCCCTCAGCGGGAGCAGGGCTAACGTTGCCTAGATTGGTGTCAGCACAGATCCAAAGCGGGAACTTGAGGGGTACTAACATTGCAGCGCCGTGCTTGTGTAGTCCTCGACGGGGCTGTTGGAAGGTGGCAGCCTGGCACAGGTGCTCTCAAGATCCTTTCCGTTCTTCCAGAGTTGTTGGAAAGTGGCGTGGGCGTTGGCCAATGCCAGGATGGCGGGGAGGACAGCTACGGACTTCATAGTGTATATATTGATGCGAGTAGTGATGTTTGGAATGAGTGACGAGTCAAAAGTTGACAAAAGAGTGACTGAAAAGGCAAAAGAACGAATGAATGACGAAGTCCTGTAGTGAAAGAATGTCCAGCGCAGCTGCGTTACTGTTCCAAGTCTGGCGAGCTCGAAGACTTATATCCTCCACCGCAGGAGATGAGTCCAGCCGTGAAGCCGAGGAATATGTGGCACGCTGCATAGCTAGCCGTTTCGTTTACCACCGGTCCAATCTCGAACCTGACGCCGGGGCGCTATGTGTCTGCAGCCACACTCGGATAGATGAACGAAGGATGGATACCTAGGCCAAGAACAGAACTCTTGGGAACCAGAACCAGGTCCATGGGTCAAACGACGACTGACAGGTTTGACATGTGGAGCGCTGATTGGTGGAGATGCACTGTGCATGGAGTTCGAGCCGAGTAGAGCTTAGTGCTGTTTTGACATTGGACGAGGCGAGAATCCTTCACATTGCAGGGGCTCTGAGGCATCCTCTGTAAAGTGTTGGCGCCACTGTCCCGCGCAGCAGACTGCACATTGGTGTGGTTGTGAACGCATTGCAACTGCTCATTGCGATGGCTGGAGCGGAGCTTGCAGGAGATGGATCGCAACAACTTCTTGATCGCACTTGCTTTGGCACCTGCCTTGCTTCGGAGATGATGGTGCGATAGGGTATGGCTGCAGAATCTAATGATGGCATCCTCTGCAATCTCAAGAATCTGCAGCTTAAGATACAATGCGGGTCTGCCAACCCAGGGTCGAGGTATCAACAACGGCTCGAGTGTGGATATGAACATGTTCGTCGGAGAATGACAAGACGGCTAAATAGCCACAGGATAATACCCTGAGTCGACTTTTACGCCGTATGCGGATGGAGTCATGGAGAAATGCGCGCTCATGCTCACGTGCTTTGCGCGCGGCACGTTGAAACGTTGGGGTGGGGCGAGACGAAACACCAACTGCATGATCGCTGCTGGGGTCGCAAGTCGACGCCGTGAAGGATCGCGGTAAAGTGACCAAGTCTGAAGGATGAAATATCCAACGTTGAGGAGATGAAGGCGCGTATGTAAAGGCGGTGTTGGATCGTGGTTGCCAGGAGAGAGAGGCCGACAGGCTGGTACGCACCTAAGGATGGTGATGATGTCATCGCCAGCGCGCCGCATCGGCCAAAACTCACAATGCAACTCGTTCTTCGCCGTCTCATATCACAAAAAATTTGTCGCATAATACTCGCAGCCAAGGATCAAGCCTACAACAAGAGTTGGTCTCGGTTCCAACTGATGATCAGCATGGTCATTTGTTCCCAGTAGCAACGCTCCGCGAGACCTTCAATCAGCGACTATGGTTATCAACGTATTCGCAAGACGTTGCCTGTTCGTTCACTCAGAGCTTGAGCGTGTCTAGCTCATACTCTCAAACTCATCACTATCTCCCACATCAAGGATGAGATACGGGCTTGTGCACACAGCCGCCAAAGGCGTTATCCAAGGATGACAAGGTCTACCACAGCGACCCTGCTGGGGCATGCTCCTTGTAATGCTAAATAAATCTGTAGTCATATTGAATTCTTTTTCGCGATGCAGCAGCTTGATTTTAGCCTACAGAGGTTGGAGCCCTTAGCCGAAGATGCTGTGGCAGCGCTCTTACACCGGTGACAGAGGAATCAGGGGTTTCCCAATCTGGAAGACAAACGCAGTAGCGTTGCTATGATCACCAACTCAACCTTGGAACTCAGCGCCCACAAAGTTTTCTGGAAATCTCAGCGACGCGACCTCTTTCTCATCCCTCCCATTATTTAATGGGCGCGACATACACACACCCTCCAATGACCCAAACACTCGGCATAGTCCTCGACCCGGACGCGATGGCGCGCGAGCTCCCCCAAACAGAGCGTGAGACTGACGCAGAATTCGGAAGACTTCTCGAAGAAGAAAGGCAGGCCATTGCCGACCACCAGCTCGCTTTGACCCAGAATTCGTGCTCAGCTCGACCTACGCTACGAACCTGTCCAACGATCGCTCTCTCGGTACCAATGAGCAGTGGGCTCGTGCAAAGGAGCTCTATGCCGAGATACACGCATACGAAATGGGTTCGCAAACGTCAAACGAGCCCGATGAGACAAGCGATACCGAAGAAGAAGGAGCTTACTACGACTCAGAACCATACCCGGAAGAGCCCCTCACTCTTTGCGAGGCGTGTCTCGACAAAATACCGACTATAGACACTCTGACGCTCGAATGCAAGCCTGTGGCTCATAGCTATTGTCGAATCTGTCTTCATAACTTCTTCATCAGGGCCCTCGAAGACGTCTCGATCTTTCCTCCTAAATGCTGCAATATTCCAATCCCACTGGACGTATGTCGTACCATGCTTCCGCGAGGATACGTCAAGAAGTTCGACCTCAAGGTGGAGGAGCTCGCGACACCCAATCCGACATATTGCGCAAACATCGATTGCACCGCTTTCATTCGGATCAAAGATATCAGCGCCGATGTAGGCACCTGCATCGACTGCAACGAGACGACCTGCGTGCAGTGCAAACACCGCGCACATGACGGATTGTGTCCGAGCGACCCACATGTGCAACTCCTCATGGATGCAGCGAAGCGGGCAAAGTGGCAGCAATGCGCCAAATGTAGGAACATGGTGGAGCTTTCCCAGGGTTGCTTCCATATGTACTGCCGCTGCGGTCATGAGTTTTGCTACCTTTGCGGCGTGCCCTGGAAAACATGCAGATGCCCACAGTGGGATGAGGAGTTCCTGACTCGCCCTGATCCAGTCGGCCAGCCAGCCCCCGCTCCAGAACCAGAGCCCGCTGAGCATTTGCACGTTTGGCAACGTGTGACTGGGGAGAACTGTGAGGATTGCAGCGCCGACTGGCTACGATTCGTCATGCACTGCGGCGGGTGCGGTGTTACTAGTTGCTGGCGGTGCATCGGCGATCTCCATTAGAGGCGTTCGATGCCTCAGAACAGGCTGAAGGATACTGTTTCCAAACATATGAAGAGAAAGATCCGGGGACCTGGCCAGGAGATGATGTGGGCGCAGGGCGTGTGTCGCAAGCAGGTGTCAAGACCTGGAATCTGCACTCAAGATCGACGAACGATACTAAACAGACCGCGAAACTAGCTGCGCATGTCGCATTAGCTTTTCAACCCTTATCAGCAATTTTTGTACCCTTCTGAGTTCGGTAGGATGTACCCGAGGACTGCTGACGATGTGGCGGTAGAAGCCTTGAGCCTGGCCCATAAGGTTTCTTTTGCCAAACAACATGTCACTCAATGACTCGTGCCATGTGCTGCATTATCGATGAACGGCCTATAGCGCGTCACTTATAAGTTCTTCTTTGCCGTATTCCCATCTTGAGAGCAATGTGGTAGTCGCGATGTGGGTACTGACAGACAGCGTGGTATGGTCGTGATCCGACGGGTAGGAAAGACACGCATCCGACATCTAGCTGCATAGCTCCCTTGTGTCGCCACAACACCGCCAGTAACGACTGTCAGCCCTCAGTTGGAATTACTCTGGAGTAGAAGTGGTCTTGAGCGATCGGCGCCAGGCCTCTTTTTAGCCGGATGCCATGCCCAAGTGTGCGGGAGGTGTCAGCGCTAACCAGTGCTTATCCCGACGCCTCAACACCACTTTGCCAATGACCTCAGCTTCCACAGCGCAGCCTTCTCTTCATCATCTCCACACAGTCAGGAGAACATGCAGTCGCCTGCTTCGTCTAAGCCACTATTGCGAACGGTTCTACGCGATCTTGGGAGTTTAGCATGTCTCTGGGCTACCTACGCACACGGCACTCACGGCAGCAAAATACGAACCATCACAACAACAAAAGATTAGGCTATGAGCCCCGCATTTCAAGGTATCGAAATATGGTAGCTGATTCAGAATAAGGCTACACAGATACCACATGTGGTCCCACATTCCTCGAAGCTGACTCGCAAACAAGTATGGCAATGCCACCATCACACTGGATACGTTAATGATGTACAATCGTGTCGCTTGGCATACTCCGGCACGTACTTGCATATCCTCGGGAAAACCTTAAACGCGAAAACGGCGACGGCATGTATGCCGCGGATGCTGCGTCTGCAGATCTTTTCGCAACGTCGATGATGCCGAACATTGTGTGGCTTAGTTCATCTCCTTCTCCCGCCTCGGTGCCCGAACGACGCCAAGGGGAACACGGGTTGGGCTCAAAAGTAACGCTGAGCTCTCATGATCTACTCGCTATACTGCTTGTCTGATCCACAAATGGAAGCCTTACAGCGCATTGCTTCTTGTGCCTCGCCTCGCCTCGGGTGTCTCGACCATATTCAGATTCACGGCCCATACTTTTTCCCGCCACATAGCTCGCTTCATCGTATTTTCAAGCCCCACGGCCAAACATAGAACGTTGGGTATTTGGCATACTGTCATAGAATCCCATATAACATGGCCTTCAGCATGCCTTCAGATGCAGTGTCTCGCTTCTCAACACAGTCGTTCCTTCTTTGCGCAGTCAAGCCTGTTGTGGTCGCTCGTGAACAGTCATACGGCCAACTTTTGTTGCTACAATCATGGTAGCCTACGCTCCTTACTTCGCCGCTACGGCTTCATTGTCGTCTGTCCTCCACGCAGTCACCCCTTCTGAGTTCAGCAACGCGCCCATCTGCCAGGTCGTCACAGCTACAGTCACTGAATACGCCACAGCACGACCCACGACCAACTCTCATGGGCATGGTGGGCCATACTACAATCCCTACAACGATGTACCTCTCCCTTTCGAGTGGCCGGGTAAACCATCACATGGAGAAGCGTACGCTCCTCCTCAGCCTTCGACACCCTACGAATACGGCGGGCCCGCCAAACATGATTACAACGAACCGTGCTGGGTTCCCAAAGGAACCGACCATCTGAAGAGCTCACTTTCAAATGTCGAACAGTGTGGTAACTCACAATGGGGTTTGATCGACTCTCCCCATCTCCCGGCAAATGGTCTCCCAGGCAGCAATCCCGATGGCGCATATACATCTGAACCAACGAGGCTTCCATCAACACATTCTCTCCACCCTACAGTATCTGGTTATCCATACAGTTATGCAAACGCCACAGGGTCTACCACTTTCGGACCGACTGCTACCGGGACGCTCGAGCCTATCGCTTCTGCGGCCTCCAAACCAAAGGCTGATCTTCTTTGTCCGTCCATGCCCGACACTGGCGTGACAAGAACATACGATCTTCACGTGGCTTATCAGACGATCGCACCAGATGGTGTTACCAGAAACGGACTCACGGTCAATGGTCAATTCCCCGGTCCTCTAATCGAAGCCAACTGGTATGAATTGTTTTACAACATTGTAATGCTCCAACTGACCGCATCAGGGGTGATTGGATCCTATGGAGAGTTACGAATGATTTGACTGATGAGGGTACTACCCTTCATGCCCACGGCCTTTTCCAGACAGAAAGTACCTGGTATGACGGTGTACCTGCGGTCAGTCAATGCCCGATCACTCCAAATGGCGGTTACTATGAGATGCTTTTCCGGGCCGACCGCTACGGGACGTCTTGGTATCACAGTAAGTTCTTCAGTACTACACTGAGATGCGCGAAAGCTAATTTCCTTAGGCCATTACAGTGCCCAATACTCCGGCGGCGCTCACGGCCCCATGGTCATACATGGGCCGAAACACGAGGATTACGACATCGACATCGGCCCCATCATTCTCGAGGATTGGTTCCATGCTGACTACTATACCCTTGTTGAAGGCACTATGAACGGCCAATTCCCGCCCTCCAACAACAATCTCATCAATGGAAGAATGAATTACCCATGTGCCAATACGACCTTGCCTTGCACGCCTAATGCAGGTATCTCTAAGTTTAAATTCCAGTCTGGAAAGAAGCATCTACTACGCCTCATCAACACAGGCGCTGAAGGCAACCAGAAGTTCAGCATCGATGGGCACAAACTGAAAGTCATCGCCGTAGACTACATCCCGGTCGAGCCGTACACAACCAACGTTGTCACGCTTGCTGTCGGTCAGCGCACTGATGTTATAGTCGAAGCCATCGGCAAGCCTAGCGATACCTTCTGGATGCGCTCTCAGCTTGCTCAAGGCTTTCGCTGCACACTCACCGACGGCATCTCACCCAACGCTCTTGCGGCAGTATACTACGAGAATGCCAGTACCGACGCTATCCCCAAGTCTACCTCTGATGTCACGAAGGAACAACTTGAGCAATGCAAGAACGACCCCATCACCCAGGGTATCCCGCTGTGTAATGTCCCATTGGAAGAGCCTGACCATGTCGAACGTGTGGACTTTGACTTCCGCTCCAATGGCACCAACTTCATCTGGTATCTCAATAACAGCACCTACCACGGCAACTACAACAAGCCAACGCTTCTAAAAGCAAAGCGTAACGAGTCGGACTTCAACCCTGAATGGAACGTGTACCAATTCCCCGGTGCGAAGCATGTCCGCATCCACATGGTGAACCACGGTCTCATTGGCGGCCATCCCATGCATCTTCACGGCCACGACTACCACATCCTGGCTGAAGGCTTCGGCGAGTGGGACGGCGTTGTGACAAATCCGGAGAACACGCTGCGCCGCGATGTTCACCAGATGCAGAATGCACGAAACACCACCGGCACTGTTGAGCCTTCGTACTTGGTACTGCAATTCGTACAAGATAATCCAGGCGCCTGGCCACTGCATTGCCACCTCGCTTGGCACGTCAGCGGAGGGCTTTTCATGCAGATCTTGGAGAGACCAGAGGATATCCAGAAGCAGGCATTTGGGGATGAGCAGTTTCAACTTTGCGATGATTGGGATGCTTATACTTCTGAAGTGGTCCTGAATCAGATCGATTCAGGGTTGTAAGTAAATTTTCATGTATATAGGGCCCTAGGTGCGAGCATAGTACATACTCATGACTTTCCCCAATGGTTTGTATCACGTGATTTTACACCTCGCAGTTTGATGAATGCCGCGTGATAGGGTCTTCGTTGCCTAGCTGGTAGGGTGGTTCGCATCTCTTTCGCATTTTGTGCAGGTCAAGTATCTCGACAGGACGCATTCGTGGGCCTGGGCAGTCACCGGAGACGACGCGTTCAAAGGCGGCCCAGCGTCCCTTGTTCCCAGAAATTCGATATGCTGAACTCCACAATATCGCCGAAGATACAATCCTGCATCCCACCGGGCTTCTCGAGAATATCCCATTTTTCCTCTCTTGTCGTTAATTTCCGAGGATAAATCTGCAGTAGCAACGGGCTATAGGCGGCAGGAGAGATGAGCTCGGGATATGCGCGCGGGAAGATTTGGTCATGACGTCATGGCTCCGCGAACCCACGGCAGCCCATTCATAAAAGTAAATTAAAGACACCGACTGTTAGCAGAACCTCCGTGCTCACGACATCTACCCTTCATCCCAGTCTGCTATTACTGGCCAATGACAATGAGCGCAGCTCCGCAGCATCTCAAAGTCCTCCTGACAGGTGGTGCCAGGGGTATCGGGCGCGGGCTGTTCAGACAGCTGCTGACTTCTGGACACGATGTGGTCATTCTGGATTCCAATAAAGAGGAGCTGGAGCATGTCCGGACGCGAGCTGAAGAATGGGCAAACGGGCGAAAGCAAAGCTGGTCTGCGCTTGAGTGTGACCTCAGCAAGCGAACCGAGTTGAAGACCGCTGTCGAGGACGTCAAACGGAAATTTGATGGCAAGCTCGACGTTTTGATCAACAATGCTTTCCCGACAGACCTATCAATATCGGAGGATCGTAGCATGGAAGCCGAAGGAGAAGACATAGAGAAAGAGTGGGATTTGAAGGTTGCAATCGGTCTCACTGCACCGTTCATCCTCAGCCGGCTATGCGTTCCGCTTCTCGCTGCTGGGAATTCTACTCCAAGCTCACCTGGTACAATCATCAACATGTCATCAACGCGCGCATACCAATCAGAAAATGACCACGAAGCATACTCATCTGTCAAGGCCGGACTGTTGGGGTTGACCCAGTCGATGTCAGTATCGCTAGGCCATCGTCACAAGATCAGGGTCAACGCGATCATCCCTGGATGGATTCACGTCGCCAACGAAAGTAAAGCTGGAGATGAAGGTCAAACCAAGTGGGAAGAGGGTCTTTCAAAGGCCGACGTCGACTGGCATCCTGCTGGCAGAGTAGGTAAAGTGGAGGATATTGCGAAGGCGGTGGAGTACCTCATTGGCAACGATTTTGTCACGGGCCAGGAGGTGGTTGTAGACGGCGGTGTCGGAAGAAAGATGGTTTACCCTGAGTAGGCACATGAGACCGTATCATGACCGACCTTTTCGTCATCCCGGCATGGCGCGCCGCGCGTGCAGTTTGCCCGTTACTGTAACAACCCTGTATTTCCAGCCGTCCACAGCCGGGCGGTGATACCCCACGTACAGCACCGCTGTCGAACAACGAAGCTTCTTTGAGCGGAAACAAGCACACTGCTCTTAGATAGTCTCAGTGGCGCAGGATAGGCAAGCGCATCGAATAGCAGATTACATTCCTGTATTCAAGACCGTTGGGTATTGTAATCTAGCAATACAGTATTACCGCGAGGAAAGGTATTACAAAGCTTGTTGAGGGTATGCAAGGAGCGACGCGCTGTCACAGTATATTAAAGCTGAGAACACGTTGCATGGCCTTTAGCCAAATCCAACAGCCGCTCATGATAGTGCTACTAGCTCTACTCCAGTAACTTTGAGTCTCTTCGTTTGATCTTATCCGGTTCCATGACGTCTTCGACCTCTTCCTCAACACAAACCCCATCCACATCCTCGCCCCACAAACGTAGCACAGCGTCCTTCCTCCAGTCGCACTTTCTCCGGGTAATTGCTTGCCTTGTCATCTTATGTACTTCGTCGCATGCCGCCATCGCCTTCTTCAGTCCTTCTTTGCCTCTTCCATTGAGCCAATTTTCGAATTCAGCAATGTTGGGGATCTGTTTCTTGAACCTTCGGTGGCAGAGATCTTTAGCGGTATACTTAATTAAAGGATTTGTGGGAGGGAAGCGACGTATCAACATCTCGAGCTCGCTAATGCTGAGAAGTCGAGATGATACGAGCGCGCAAAGGGCGCCTAGGAGAGGTGCAGAATGGGTGTAGTGGATGCCGAGAACTAAATACGCTTGGTATGTTAGAACATCGTTACGAAAAATACCCGGATACAAGGTCAACGCGATCAAGGCCAAGAAGCTTGGATGTGGTGAACACGTCAAGCAAGCGTTCAATACTTCTTTCATCGGCGTGAGCATGCATGCGAAATTGCGTGATTTGGGGCGTGATTTGAACGACATCATTGGCCTTCTGGCATGAAGCTATCAACGCACGAAGAGCTACGTCTTTCCGGATGACGATACCATGAGCAATGACATCCCCGGTTGTGGCGCTTGGGAGGATGCGAGGCTGTCTGAAGAGACGATCGGGCTACGGCGCGGAGCGAAGATGGCGGTTCTATCGATTGCTGAGACGCGGCAACTTTAAAAAGGGTTCCTATATCCTATCTAGGTGCATGACTTGGGGCTGGTGAGGGCTCAGTCCATGCGGTCGTCAGCGTCCGTATGCGACTGTCGGCGAGCGACCAGACGCCATTCTGATGACTGACGTGTCGGATGCGCTGAGACGACGCGAAGTACTTGGAAGTATAAACTAGGATAGATAATCTGGGCCTTGTGCACGTAGTCGCGTCGGCGAGGGGCCGTTGGGACTATGACGGCGTTCCTGATGGTGGAGAGCAAAAGAGTGTTGCTCAGGACTCGCGTCATCTGGAGTAAGTTCGGCTGGCGCTACTGTGCCGAGAGGGCACGCGTCCGACACGCGCGACAACTCTTTCACTTCAACACTCTCTCGCGAATCCCAGTCGTCATTGAAAAGTCAGTCGTTCATCGTGTGCAAATACTCATTGTTTTCATATGCGTTCCACAAGAGTCTTCTGCCGTCTGATTGAAGATGACGCTTTACTACGAGCCGCACGGTGCCACAATACACCTACTCCAGATCAGATAACGAGTCCTTTAGATCATTGACCAGTCGCAATCCAGAAAGAGTTATAGCGTTTCAGGCACACGGTTCAACAGCCGCGATGGCCTTCTCTAAATGCGTAAGAAAGCTGCGATGAGACGCTACATCAGCATAACCAGAGAGAGCCAGGAGTATGAAAACGGGCACAAGTAGTCCGATGAGGGCGATATTCATGATCTTCTAGGGCCCCGATTAGGACCACCCCACATTGCTCTTTCCTCATTCAATCCGGCTTCCTCGCGTTGTGCGACCGTTCTGCGCTCGAGTCCCTGCCTACTTAGGTAGTCACGTGCACTGGGTCCCGTCCGTTTGCATGTAAATAAACCGCGCCTCGAGCTCGCTGCCTAAAAGTACTGGACTCTGCCCCAAATCTACTCCTTCTTAAGAACAAGTCTTCTCTCTTCTCCCACCAACAAACGCGGTTCCACGTCAAATCGCTCGGTCTGCGCCGCATCATCATCGTATTTGCGATGGCGACCACGGACATTGCAAGCAGTCACTTAGCTGCAGAACTATCGTACGTTTCAATCACCATCAAAATAACGCCATGTGCTAACCCCAGGTCTAGTGAGCCATCTCCAGCTGTCCAAGGCCAATCCAAGTCCAAGTCTGCACGTTCTCGTCGCAACCGGGCTGCTAAGAAGGCGGCACTCCTCAAGAACGAGAACAACATCGCTTCCTCTACTGAGCAGGCTGGTTCTCCCGAGTCTGCTGATACTACCAAGAACGCCGTACCGGACCAAGGTGAAGACTTGACCGTTGAGACCGTTAGCATCGCCGACACTGACGCCTCTGCGACCGCCTCTTTGCCCAAAGAGCCACTTACTACCAAGACCAACCTTCAACCCGCTACTAATCTCGGATCCGACCCCAAGCCGACCCCGCCGTCATTCTCTCCCGTCTCCGAGGTTGCCGATGTCCCGCCCCAGCCAAAGACTGCAGTAAAGCAGTCAGCCCTATCGCCGTCTACACCCGTCATAGATCAGCCTATCGACAACCTGCTCGAGATGATACGAGTGCAGCGTCAAGCTCTTCTCCAAGGTCCTCGCGTCGTCATTCATATTGGAGATACATCCGTCGAAGGCATCTCCAAGCGCGCAGCAATGGCTGCTTCTACCGTTCTCAGCAAACACTTTACAGCTAATCCCCAGTCGCATGAGTATGTATTCTCACGCGGCCAGATACACCCTGGTGCAGTCCGCCTTCTGCTTATCGGCTGGATGCAGGAGACGTGCAACGAGTTCGAGGCCTACGCTGTCCCGGCTCAGAAGACCTTTGGTGAAGACGTTGCTCTCCTACGCGCTGCTCGCCTGTTAGGTATGGAGCGCTACTGCAGCCATATCCACGCCGGCTATGTCGAGTACCTCAAGACCCAGCTTCCGAGCTACGAAGAGATCATTGCCGTCGAACAGAACGCCACGTCTGACAAAGACCCACTCTGGACCGCGATGGTCAACCACCTTTGCCACGACCGCTACAAACGCCTTATACCCGACCCTGAAGACTTCGCGGCGTTCTTGGAGAAACACACTCGGTTAAGGAAAGCTATGGAGTCCGCTGATATATTCTTTGCTGGGATGGCAAAGAGGCAGGTTGAGGGCCGGGAGCAAGAGCGAGAGAAAGAGCGCCGTCAGCGTTGGGAGCATAACCAGGCTGAGAAGCATGCGCGCATTGCTAAAGAGCGACTTGCTGCTGAGTCGCTGAGGAAGAAGATGGACGAGAAGGGTTCCGGTCTGATGACCGTGACCGCGGAGGAGGCGGAGCTGCTTCGAGGGCGCACTCGCACCCGCTAGAAGACCGCTGAACGCAGCCTCTGCCTTCACCTCGGATTTACAGACACCATCTTTTCACCGGCTGTACAATGGCGCATAAAAGAGACTAACAGCATCTTCCTAGCCGACCAGGACATGTAAGCGGGGAAGAAAAGCCTGCGTAAGCACTCAGGTGTTTAAGCGCGTTCCTTCTTCCTGCTCTTCCGCAGGGTATCAATTACCGGGCACGTAGAAGTCAACATAAAGTGACTTTGGAATACATAGTAGATACAGATGTGTATTAATCCAATCCAATCGCTAAACCCCTATGTTTCTACTGATACATCGAATGCCTCTATTCGGGTGTCGTGCGGCTGTGTCTACCATCCCAACCCATCATTCTCTCGTCCTCTCAGTACTCATCGGCCCAATCGCCCAGTTCCTCGTTCCAATCATCACTGCCTTCTTCGCTCTTCTCGTATCCCTCCCACCAGCTCGCTACAGTCACGGGCGGCTCACACTCTTTGCACCTAGCCTTGATGTATATCGCACTGTCCTTGCTGACCAGCCCAGCATGGTGTCCATGTGGTACGACATCGAGCTTGTTGGTGCAGTCGTCCTCTGCGCAGATGATCGTGTGAACGTCCATTGGAGAAGATGAGCGTGAATGAGGTGATACGGCGCCGATCTCACCCGCAGTTCTGATGCCATGTTGGGGGTGGCGACGAACGACCTCGGGGCTATTTGGTGGGTAAGACATGGCGTTGTTAACTCTCGAAATGCTTGTATCGCTTGGAGAAGCTGGCTGGTAGTGTTGTGATAAGGGAAGACAAGATCTCGGGAAGGGAGGTATTTATGACGCTGTTGATTGCGTGGTGAAGACAATTGTGATTGTGTGGAGGAGGAGAGCAAGCCTGGAGGGGGCTTTGTGGTGAGTGAAGTAAGTTATGGTACAGTCATAGTGTTATACATCCCTCATGACCCTGTTGCAATATCATTCACAAAGTGTGAATGTCACTGCTATTCATGGCATTCCTTAGCCCAGCCTCATTCGTCTTCCCACCATCCATCTTCCAACAAGTCTCTCGCACTCGGTCTATCCCTCCAGTCCATCTTCATTATCCTACGGACGAACTCGTTATCCTTCCTTGACAGCTCTGCCTCTGAGATGACCTTGAACATTCCCTGCTGCGCTGGTAGATTGTTTCTCTTCAAAGACGCTAGGGTCTTAGTAATCTCTTCATCAGCTATCTCGACGGTCTTGTCTGGAAACGGCCCGAACCAGTACAACTGTCGCAGAAGAACATGCAAGGGGAGATTTTCCCTGTCCTCCTCCGCTTTTTTGCCCTGGGGAACGCATAGGTTGAAGTGAGAGCCGTAGTGCATGTGCACAAACTAATCACGGGAGTCGTCAGCCCAGCAACGTTGGATTTATTCGAGATGAGACCGAAACGTATCATATGGAGTGTCTTACCAGCAGTCCAAATGCCCAAATAT